CATTTTAGTCAAAACACTATATTTGCCTTTTTCTCCATAAACAACTTTTAGACTAAATCCTGGTTTCGATGTGATGAGTTTCATTTATAAACCATTTCTCCAGGTTTAACTTGACTTGTGCTTATTTTACTTGAACCATTGTCCAGTTCTCACAGGAAGTCCTGGACCAGGAAGTCCTGGACCAGAACTACTAGTTCAGCTCGCRGCCAAGGTCCAGCATCACAGGTGGTGTGTGCAGCAGGTAGAAGGTCACCTGGACAGGCAGAACAAGGACACAGACCCTACAGAAAGGTGGGTTTAAAAGAACAGAAATGATCTCTGTGAACTTCTCTGTCATCACTCTTACATTGTCGCTTTTATTATGAAAATTAGCTGCTGTTGGTCCTGTTTACAGTTCCTACAGTCTGCCTCCTAAATTMAACCAAATATTCACTTTCAGTCTAMAAACATATTTATATTCAGACACAAACCTCCTCTTAAGGCCAGAGGGTCATTTCTGCTAAAAGGACCCWCCTTGGAAAAGTGACCTCTCCCATGCTTTATACTAAATATGTTAACATCATGTTGCATGTGTTCATACAGAAAAGTAAATGATTGCAATTAAAATTTCAATTTATTCCAACATATTTATCAGAGAACACGTAGAACAATAACACAGTYTCATCCATATATAAGCAGATATAATCTGTGACCGTACACTGAAGGTTTGATTCACCTGCTTGAGGTGGTTTTTAGGTTTTTAAAAAAAGAGTTAAAGCACAACAGGAGAGATGGAAACACATATAAGTTCTATGTCAGAGGTGCCCAAAGTGGGGCCCATGGGCCAAAATTGGCCCTCCAAGCCATTTGATTTGGCCTGCCATTATTTATCCTGGTTACTAGGTTTTTTTTATAGCCTGTCATCGTCTGTAGAAACTCTGTATTTCCATGTACAATAATTACATCCAGTTGCCCAATAACTAAATAAGGATGTCCTGATGCATCTCAGTAATCCAGGTAAAAAATCAAAAGGAAAAAAAAATAGTATAGGTCRTCTGGACGGGTTCTTCTCTAATGAAACGTTTCGTCTCTCCTCCAAGAGACTTCTTCAGTCTGAGAGTTTCAGGCTAAATTCAGGCTTTTAAGTCCTGCCTCCATGTGACTGATACTCACATCACATGGCTATCGTTCACAGGTGACTCATACTCTAAATAAGGAGATATTTAGATTAGATTTAAGCACACATGTAGATTTGAAAACTTTATGAGTAAAAATACAAATATTTTATCCACTTATGAAATGTATCGAGCAAGTGTARGGCCTAAAAACACAACCAAACAAAATGTGGGCCACACTGGCTCGTATCTTGATCATAAAATGTAAAAAGACTTTACATAAAAGTATTTGCATTTCCTTTATTTATTATTGCGTTTGGTCCGCAGCCCTTGGGTAGGTTTTAATTCTGGCTCTCTCAGGGAAAACGTTTGGGCAACCCTACTGACTTAGTGAACATTTACCTGACATGGTTGATCAGCTGTTCCCACTGGCTATCCAGTACCGGTATCGGTACCAGGTTCAGCTCGGCTGCAGCTGGACCCTCCTCCTGCTGTCCAAGAGGATCACATTAGTTTCAGACTGTCTGCAGACAGCAGTAGTTGATCAGACASAATAATTATAAGTTTCCTGATAACCTCTCTCCATGGTCCTGAAGTCTCTGTGAATTTCTGACTTCTACTTCCTGTTTCCTACAGACATGTGTCTGATGTAATGACACTTTGTGTAGCCTGGTTGGTTCACTCAAATTAAAAAAAACTCCTGGATCTGGATCATGATGCACATCATCACCAAAATCTAATGATGTGTTCCTTTGGTCAGAACCACCTGTGGTAAAAATCTGTCCGTGGGTTTTAGAGTAATTTAGTCGACYGACCTCCCTCCTTCCATTGGTGGAAACATGATGTTATGTATTTCCTGTTTACATCAGCCTCAATAAGATCTGTATTTAATTGACCAGGGTATTGCCCTGCAGCACAAATCACATCTGATCATTTAAAATGTGATTCCAGGCTGAAGCTGTGGGCAGCGCTGGTGAAAACAGCTCGTAAACAGGAAGTCTGGGACGTTTGCAGAGCTGCCTGTTGGTTCTGTTTGCTTTACGATGATGGGAGATGGAAGCTGTCACACACAGACAGTAAGCTGAGCAAATCACTGACATAAACAACCAAAGATTATTAGAGAATAATAAAGCTTAATGGAAGCATCGATTGGATGAATAATAGAGCTCATTTAAAACGATGGGTCTGTAATAAAGCGAGCAGCTGAATAAACACAAGTGTTTCTGTTGATCTGTTTTGTTTTTCTCAGAGTGTAAATGTGCAGAAGAAGCAGAAGATGGTCTGAGCTGCAGACAGACACACACTCAGGTCCACATGCTGCTCCTCTTAGCTGAGSTTCACTTCATCAGAGCTGAGGTACGAGGACCACCCGCTGTGTCTGCACTGCTTCCAGCATTTTATTCATTTAGTTTAAAAACAAACTCATTCACATAAAAAATACACATCAAATAAAATGAAAGGTAGCAGAAAGAAGAAACAATCATATCTGCCCCTATTTAAAAATAAATATTAACTATAATAATGATAGTTTCAAACAATAACAAAACAAAATCTTCAGCTCCTGAACAGCAGCTCTTATAAATATAAATTGTAGAATTTCATATTTCTTTAACAAATAATTAGAGCTGTCAAATGATTAAACTTTTTAATCTATTAATTCCAAGGTAGCTGTGAATTAATCACAATTAATCTTAAACTTAACGTAAAACTTTATTGCATATTGGTAAAATAAATTACTTGAGTTATTAATTAATGTCTTTATTTAGAAAAAAAATTGGTGCTTAAGAAATACATACAGCAATAATAAATCATGAAAATATCACCTCGACTGCACAAAAACAACAAAAATCAGGACCTAAAAATGCTCCAAACAAATGTGAGTCAGTTACATTTTGTGCAGAATAATGAGGTTAAATCAAGATTCAACAATTTTCATGAGAACTACTGTACATGAGGAATGAAAGATACATTCTAAGGTCACAGCTGCCAGTAAAACATGAATAAATAAAATAAAATAAGCCATAAGAAGACACAAAACCTGAACATAATTTATGTAAGATAATGATGACTCTGTTATTTCTACCATGTTTTTATAAAACTCCCCCTGACCCGACACTGTTTTTAGTTTGATCAGAGGAACACTGCAGCAGATTTTCTTTGCTCCAGCTCATCAACCGACGCTCCGTGATGCAGAAGACGTGCATTATGGGGTTTGTAACGAGCCCGTGAGGTTGGCCAGTGAGCGGTCAGAGTCAGTGACGGTCGGGCTTGTCTCGTTGTGTAATCACACGTCCCATCAAGCCCAGGCCCGAGGTCCTGATTAGGTCTACAGAGATGTTAAGATGACAGCGCTTTGAAGAAAATGAAGACAACGAGTCATCGCAGCGACGTGACCTTGCCGACACTGACGCTCAGCTCCTCCTGCTCCTTTCATGCCTCTCACTGTGTTCTGGGACACATGGATGGTTTTAGTTGTTATTGTGAACTGGGTTAGAGTTCATTAAATGAACCAGCTCCTCTGCTCAGGCCATTGGAGTAAAAAAAAACCTCACTTTTTGTTTTTTTCTTTGATCTCTGCAGCGAGCTTTAATCTCTCTGGAAAAACCGCCCTGCTCACAGCAAGACGTCCTTTTTTAACGTCTTCTTCAGCTGTCACGGTCAGATGTAACCGGTGATTTTACAGTCTGCAGACATGAGTTTGTTCTGTTTTTCTCAGGCTGCCGTCCAGAAGCTTTTATCTGAGGGCTTCGAGCTGAACAGCCTGGCTGTCCGGCCTCAGAGAGGAGRCGTGAGTTCCTCTGAAGACGATCCAAACTGGGTTGTTTACAGGTGCAAGTCCACACACAGACACACAACTTCTTCTTTCCAGATTAATGTTGGTGTTTGAATAATTTAGTGCAGCTTTTTCCTGTTAGAATCCAGTTGTAGAGTTGACCCTTTCCTGACACGTCTGATGTGTTTTTGTGATCCTCTTCCTCTGACACCAGTGGTGCCTGCAGAACCTTTTTTCAGGGGGGCCAGTGAAAAACCAGGGGTGGCCCACCAAAACTAATATCTGTAACAGAAAATTTATGATGTTTGTAAAAATGACAAATTGAAAACTATGGTAATATAAAGCTATGGGTTCACCAACAGATGTTCAGTTTGTAATTTCACAGATAATATCACTG